AAAATATGTATTGGATTGAAAATTCGAATCACTAAAGCAATGTGAAGATTATTTTGTTGATAAGATTTTGAAGATCGTAAAAAAATTATTAAATCATGAGGATATACTTAAGAAAATAAATTCAAAGTATTTTATTATGATCAGGTATAATTAAATAAAAAATAATGTGGACTGAATAATATGAAATTGCTCTAAATCGGGATGAAAACAGCTAGTGTACAACATCCAAATGTTAGTATTGTGTTTTTATTACATAAACAGAAGTAATTGCTAACATACTTGAAATGTATGACTGTAAAGTTTCAAGATGATTGCCCCTATTTAGGGGGGAAATAGTACTTATGTTTTATAATTTTACATTTTTTTTTATTTTCATTTTGAAAAAATGTTCATATATAATTAGCGAGTTGTGAGTTTATTCATATATAATTGAAATTAAATTCTTATAAAGTAGGTAAAGTATCACAACTCAATTTCACATATACCAACTCTATATTATATAGATTTGAGTTGAATTTCAATTCATTCAGATAAACTACTTTCGTCTCACTAACATTAGGATATGAGGAGGTTATGAGGAGGTGGAGCGGGATAAGAAAAAGTGAGTTATGTAGTTGATATTGAATTAATAAAGCAAGAATAACGTAAGAATGATTTAGAAGCACATGCACTTTAATTTCCGAATGCATGAAATAATTTATGACATGATTTATATGGTTGAATTATTGTATTGATATTGAATTAATTTCAAAAAAATCAAATTTCCTAATTATGAAATAATGTACTCTGTATTATTTATGTTCAAATTATTCGATTGTGAATTTTAAAATCAGAACTTTTGTTGTTCTAATATGAATAGTTCGTTGCAAAAAATATAAATAGTCTTTTATGTGGCTGTTTTTATGATAATTTGGATATTATAATTATGCACATGCTGATCACACCTAGGGGTGTTTGTTATGATGTAAAGTAAACACTTTGCGTGTAAAGCGTGGTGACGTAAACATTTTACACCGTTTGTTTTAACTACTTAATGTAACTACTTAATGTAAACTGTAGAACATTTTTAAAAAAATTACATCGTACCATGTAAAAAATTTACGTGGGTGGAGGGTAGTAAACTATTTTACACCCGTTTATATATATACGATGGAGAATACTGAACATGGAATTACGGCTTCTACACTTTGGTTGATTCGTAGTTATATACGGAGTATATGTTAGCCGCCTAATCCTTTGCCAAGTGTGCAATTTCTTTTGAAGGCAAACATAATTTCTGGGTATAAATTTATTTCTGCCATTTGCGTTTGAAGAAGGCAAACAATCTAGACTTATTATTCCTCACTAATAAATTCATTCATTAATCATTTTGATCACTGAAAATAATTGAAAAGGATAAATATTGGAAAATTTACTTGAGTTAAATTAATGTGTTGCACGCCACTTTCCTTGTTTTACTAAAGGGTTATTTATCGTTTTTTAAATATGAGTGCTTTAAAAAGAGCAAAACTGGAGAAACTGGAGTGAAATTTTATTACAAAAACTGCGGGCCCACAGATTTAATAAAATAAAAATATTCATTCAACTATACTTGAATATTGAATATCTGCTAACATATTATCACATTTAAATTATGTACATCAGTACATGCATACGGAGTACTAAATTGTGGGCGGTCTAATTATTCATGTACTCCGTAATTATTAAGATCATCACCCACTATATATGGTAATATTACCATGTCAATTACCATCCGCATGCATAACTCATAGTATTAAAAAATATACGACAATAAATGCTCCACCTTAATTAGATTCTGACTACACATTAGGCGGTAAAGAGTTATTTTACATTAATTCCCTTTAATGACCCTAATTTGGGCGGGATTTTTCCCTCCAGTTGTGGTGCAACGACTGTTACTTTATATTATATAAAGATACATTTGTGTAAATCACAATTTGTGCTTGACAATTCATTGATCGAAAACTTTCTTGGAAAATTTACCGGGATATGACTAAAACTCAATGAGTTTCTCAATCTATGACCTGATTAGTTTTTATACCTTTGTATGACCAAAAATCCAAAAACAAATAAAAAATTCGTTTATATTTAAATGTTGAATGACGAAAATACCCTTATTTAAAATATGTGCATTTTGCACTAATTTCGTCCAATTAAAATTACTGAACTTTATATTGTCATTAATGCACAAAATTAATGCATGACTTTACTGCACATTCAATAATAATCACTGCACTTCCCCTAAAATTACTTCTCTTCTTATTTAATTGAGGATTTTTTTCATTTAATAATTTTATTATTTTACGTCAAATTAATTATGTTGAATTTCATTTTTTTCTGCCAAAATTAATTCTGATCTCTTCTTCAATGCATTCACCAACTGCCTATGTGTTGTACAACACTCTTCCTCAATGATTCTATTTCTCAATGCATTCACTCATTGTCACTGTACAATGCCCATCTTTAATGCCCACAAATCCTACATTCATCGCCCATATCTAATGCCTTCAAACCCTAATTATAGAAATTCCTAATTTCAGAAATAGATCCAAAGCAGCAAGCTTCTTCTTGTCCAACAAATTGCTCCAAACCTATATTTACGTAATTGCTCCAATTCCTCCGTCCCTAAGTTCAATGTCACAAATCTTAATTTCACAAAAAAAAAAAAAAGAACCATAAGAAGCCCACAAATCCCGAATTGATTAACCACAAATGACGGCCCTCCATATACTCGTACGAAATTGGTCCACAAACCCCAAATTGATTAACCCCAAACCCCAAAAGCATGATGGCAGGGGAGAGCGGGCAGGTAGAGCTACACAATTGCATCTTCCTGTGTATGTAGATTCATGGAGCGTCTGACCTTAAAGACGGTGGTGGTTGTAGCTGCGGCCGCCCACAGACCAGTGCTCCTCCTTGACCTACGATTTCAGAGAATCGATGACGGGTACAAGGCTACATACTGATGAGCGTCGCATGTGGTATGCGATGGCGAGAGGAAGGAGGGTGAGGGGTAGCAGGGGTGCTAGCTATTGGACGGTGGCGGCGCTACGGGATGGCGGTGGCGCTACTGGACGGCGGCGGCCGTACAGCTGGAAGTCGAGTGGGGAAATGGCAGGCGGCCGTGCGATTAGGGTTTGAGACTTGAGGCTGGTGTTGAAGAAAAGAAGTGGAAGGTTATGGTTTTATAGATATAACCTAAAGGGTATATTAGTCCATAAAAGTTGTTAATTATTTAATTAATTACGAAATTAATTAAGTTATATATATTTAAGTATTATTTTGAGGAAAAAACTAGTTAGGTCATAGATTGAGAAAGTGGAGGAGTTTTAGTCATACCTAGGGTAATATTTTCAACTTTCTGTTCAATTATATTCTTGATAGTTTTATCAGTAAATTAAGGGACAATTACTAAAATAGGAGTAGAGTTTTAAAATTCCCAAAATATGAGTATTTTTTTCTAAAAGGACAAGGATACCCCTGCCTGTTGATGCCTGCTGACTGCTGCTACAGTACCGCCGCCGGCCAGACTTCGTCGTAGCTTCAGCGACCACCGTCGGAAAATTTTCCCAATTTTGTTTTGGACTTTTCCAAGCATTTCTGCCTCCGGCCACCGCCGAACTGCCCCGCTATCAACGGACTGTCTTGGTTGCCCAAGGGAACTAGGGGGCAATAATTAATTAGAATAGAGGTTTCCTCCGGTCGCCGGAGCTCCACCGCCGGCCGCCGCTGTCTGCCACCACCGGACTGCCGCCGCTACCAACACCTTGCCCCGCCACCCACGGACTACCCTTGTTGCCCAAGGGAACTAGGGGGGGGGGCAATAATTAATTACAATAGCGGTATTATTGATAAAAAAAAAAAAGTTTACTCCTATTTGGAGAATTTTAGGAGTTAACTCCTATTTAGGATAATGTGTTATATTTTACTTCTATTGGGAGCAATTTCTTGTAAATTAATTGCTCAAGATATTCTTGGATGTTATTATCGTCATACTATAATTTAGGCTGATGTTAATGCTTTCAAATATACTCCGCATCACTTTTTTTTAGAGTTGAACATATTTTATCCTTCAATTTCCATCCTTGTAATATATTGAGCGTGTTTGGAAAATGATGGTTCACCCATATTCTAACATAGATGTTTGTTTAATGTCAAATTGCATTGGCTTTTTTATCGAAAATGCCGATTTTGAATACACTTTTCCTCCATATTGGCGTTTTTTATCGAAATCACCTTGAATGAAAAATGTCACATTCCTATGAAAATGACATGAATATGACTTTTTTACTCTTTGAAAATATTCAGCTTTCTTTTCAATATTGTCATCAATGACATTTTTTCCCGACGACCAGAGGTGGCAGCGCTGGAAGGTGGTTGAGGTGGTGATTGAGACTTGTATATTTTTTATTTGTTTTATACGTTTTTTATTTTTTATTTTATAATTTTTTATGTTTTTTATTATTTAAAAAAAAAATCGTACTCCGTATTAAGAATGATAAGGAAAAGGGTGGAATAAGAAGAGTTAGTCCTATTTTGGGAATTTAAACTTAAAACTCCTATTGTTCCAATTTTGCTACTACCTCCGTTCTTTTTAATTAGTCCTTCTTTCCTTTTTGGGACGTTTTTTTTATCTGTCATCCTTTCCATTTAAGGAAACTTTTTACTCTAAATACACCTTTATACCCCAACTTTTATTACCATTACCCCTTTCTTTTTCCTACTTTTTCATTTACCCACTACTCATTACACCTTTTACACTACCCCTATTATTTTCCTCTTAAAACCCATACCAAAGCCTAGGAGGACTAATATTAAAGAAGGGAGGGAGTATTATTTAGTCCTATTTAAGGAAATCTCCCTTTTTCAGGGAAAAGTTACCACAAAAAATATGTTTCCCAATTTTCTTTTTTTAACAAACAAATAGAGAGGTCTTGGGCTTCTTTTGTTAAGGGTTATTTGTCTAAAATAGAAAAAAATTGTCTCAATGGATAAGCGTTATCTCAAGTCCATTTCAACCAAATACACAAGTCAAAGGCTACTTATTTTGTTTAGTCTAATTATTGTACTGATAAGCAGAACAAACGAATTAATAATGACAGATGGCCTTGGTCTTCTTCAACTTCAATTTTTTCCAACTCTCTACTCTAAAATGAGGAATTCACATAACTTTGAAAGTAAAACATATTAGCATTTTTTGATTGAAGAGACCATCTTGATTCTTGAGTGAACAAAAAGAGGTTAGAGTAAACCAGGGAATGAATGATTTCATAGTACTTTCAAAAACTCAACACAGACTAGTTGAAATAAAAGTCTGTGTCATGGGGAACTTTAAAAAGCTGGACCTGCCCACCGCTGGTAGTACTTTCTGCCAAGGTATGTCCATGAAAATCAGTAGAGTGATGTTCAGCTTGCGGGTATTCTGGGGAAGACATGAGTAGGCTTTGAGGGACAGAATGCATCAATGGCTCCACTGAGCTGGACTGATTAGCAGCAGGTAGAGTTGGGGGGTGATTATCAAGTGAAATCAACTCAGGTTGGTATGAACCCCAGGAAGTACTTGACAGAAGAGAGAGAGCACGAGGAACTTCCAGTTTCGTGCCTCCGCTTGAAGGGAACCAAGATTGTTTGGCACCTGACCGAGAAATAGAAACAAATGTCCAAAAAGCACTTAGACTAAAAGCACCATAGGATATAGAAATTTCTGTCTTTCCTACCAGTAATTAAATGGATGCATCAAGATATACCCCCAAACTTTTTTAGGAAAAGGGAGAACAAAGAGGTTTTCCAGAGAACAAATATACCCCCAAACTTTTTTAGGAAAACTACATATAAAACATTTAAGGTTGGAACAGATATGCTGTTATGTCCAATGGTTTCGCCTTTCCGGGGTGTGTATGCTCTCTCGTATATAGTTCAAAGGTATATAAGTTCTAACTTTAGAATTTTATGTGTGTTTAATTGTTCAGAAATAAGTTCTGGGGAATATATGTGTTCTCTAGTTCAAAGGTATACTTATTCTTTTCCCCATTTCCAAAATGCGGTCCTATCCTTGAGTAGGTATTGAACCAAACCTTGATCGAAGACCTCAGATATGGTGCCCTTGGATGCATTGATTGCATTTGGTAACCGGATCCCTGCCATGTCTTGTAGTTTACTCATGTTGGGCGTGCAACTGTTGTCCCAGGTTGAATTTGCAGTAGTTCTAGAGGGCAAAAGTGTGAATTGGTTCACAAAATTCATCTGTGGTCTACCATCTGCAAGACCCAAAATGACACAATGTCAAAGATAGGAACCACTTCGCGCAAAAAGTTAAGCCACCGAGCAGTATTTGGAACCACACCTAGGATTGCCATGAACTGCTACTCTTAACTCAAGTAAAAAACTATCCGAGTTGAAGGACAGGAAATCATATTTGTTAAACCCTGATACTTGCACAACATCTAAGTTAAAGAACAGGAAATCATATTGGATACATTGTTATGATTATATACATGACTATATCAGAAGAAATTTACTACACGTTATTAATGCTCTTTTCCCAGATTCGATTTAAAGCTGTAATAAGAATGTCCACAGATAAATGATACCGGAGTATGAATTATATCGCGAAAAGGTGAAATAACTTACTGATGTAACTAAACTGGGTGGGACCAGATAGTGGCTTGCGGCGCCTGGCATTGTGGTCAGAAAGTCTACGGCGGCAGCTGCGTTTCTTTTCATCAAATTCAGACAAGCCATGGAACCTTTCATCAAGTGAGAACAAATCATATTATTGATTTACAATGAGAACTGAGCTAAACATCAAAACTGAACTCTGGAACATGAAGAAGCACATCATGTTTTATGCCACATGATTAGACACCGTTTGGTGGTTGTTAAATAGGCTGCCATTGAATAGTCAACAACACAATTAGACACCCTTTGGTGGTTGTTGCATAGGCTGAAATGGTTGAATCAACTGAGTTGGTTGAACAAAAAGTGTTTGGTGATCTGTTTGGCTGAAATAATTGACTATCTAATTACCTAAAAGGATATGTGATAAGTTTTTTACTCAGACATTACAAAAAGGGGAAGTTGTGTCATTTGAGCTGAAATAAGCCAATCAAGGCAAATAAATTAGGGTAGGGCTGATTTTTATGGCTGAAAATGATCATCAACGGAGTCAGCCAAATCACAGGGCATTCGGTGATTCTTTCAGCTTATTCAAGCTCACCAAATGGGCTGTTTGTAATCAGTACTTCCATGGCCAGTTTTATTTGACAATAAAAAGCTAATGTGCCAAAGAGCATACCGGCTACACTGCTGGCAAAACCGACGCTCTACACCAGCTATAATGACCTTTGAGCATTTGGAATGAATATCACATACTCTATGCTTCTGATGATAATCTTTGGCGGAAGAAAGATCAATTTTGCAACCTTCAACCTGACAGTATGGAATGGGTGCACACTGACTAGAAGATGATTTCGGTTTCTTAACCACAGGGGTCAACGACATAGGGATCTTGACCATTAATGCACTCTTTACGTTGTTTCCACCACAGTTTCTCTCAAAATAAGTCCGCTTACCAAGCTTCAGACCAATAAACGGTTCTACAGATACCTCAGCTGTGGACTGTTCCATTTTCTTCTCAAAGTCTCCTGGAAAGCCTTCAGAAGTAAACTTGGATGAATCCATCCCATCCTTCTTCAGTGATGAGTCAGTAGAAGCAGAAACTGAGCTTTTTTCAGAAGATCCGTATACACCGCTGCCACTGCTGGCCCCGCCCTCTCCTGAGAAACCAAAGGATCCAGGATCAACTTCAGCAGCGTCTACTAACCCCCAGCCTGCTAATTGCATCTTTTTGGGACTTTCACAAACATTGGATCCAAGCATAGCAAGCTTTTCCCATCCCCACTTAGCATCCCACTCCATTTTCATAAAACAAGTTGTCGAATGAAATGGATTCACTATATCTTTATCCTCATACAGCACACAAGGAACAAACCTTTATATCTGCAAAAGCCAAAAACTGACAAAAAATGATTCAAACAAGAATTGAGAAAGCATGCCAATTGAGAACAAGAATTTGATTTCAATGTATCAAAAGCAGCGGTAGCGTTTGCAATAACAAGCACACTGCAAATACCCTCAGAATATGCACAATAAGGGGTCATCCCTAAGAACTTGAATTTCATGTCAAAGTATTAAAATCAGCACAGGCTTGCAATAAAAAGAAATCCACTGCATATATGAAATACCCAGTGGTCATTCACAGGGAAAGTTCTTCAGGCCTCACTCTATAAATTTCTTAGGTTGATCTCTCACCTAAAAGCAATCACCCAAAGGCCTGGTATTTCTGGTAAAGATGTGTTAAATGTCTCAAACTAACTGCATAACACACTATAAACATGGAAAACACATGTGAAATAATAACAATAATAATATTAATAATTATACAGCAACATATAACCAGACTCTACCTACACAGTTTCCTGTCGTCTTAGAATGTAAACTGTACGGAATAATAAATAAGGAAAAGGTAGGGTCTGGCATTTTTTTTGAATTATTTTAATTATAAAAACGCAGAGTTAATATTTTTTCTCTCTTTTGGCCTATCCAGTAACTTTTACCCGCACAACAAATAGTGGGGAGCAATAGAATGCTGAAATGAATTGGTCAAAGTAATTACCCAATGGGTAATTACTATTAAAAATACATCAATAATTGCAAATCAAGTGTTACCACTCTATAAAGTATAAACAAGGCAGTGTTTTAATAATACACGTAACACGTGCAATTATCAATAAATTCCACATTACTCCCCCAGACCCCAGCTACCATTTATGAAACCTTCCAAGAAAGGTTCTTTTATGAAACCCCCTATAGAATGAGAGCAAAATCTAAAAAGCTCTGCACAGAAGAAGAGAACTTCAAAAGAAATTTAAAAAAAGAACGATGAAAAAGGTAGTCTTTTTAATTCTCTAATCCGAAGAAATCAAGCAATCGATATGATTGGCAGCCGAAATTCACACAAATTTGGAGATTCCAGTCTTGCTTCTCCAAAAAAAGGAAAATTTGCAATCATGGCAACTTGGGTACTTAAAATAATACGATCCCAGAACAAAAAAAGGAGCAGAATACTATATGCTTCGTAGTAAGTAGTAAACTAACCCTTCCCAGATTACCTTCGTTGTATCCAGAAAAGGCAAGGCAGCAGAGGAAAAAGGAGTGAGGTTTTTACGCCTTGAGGAAAGACTGAAACTTGAAATGGACAGAGAAATGCTCAGTGGGGGAGGAGGCCAGGAGGGAGATGAAGAGGGGCCAGCTACGCCAGAGTGAGTGCGGTTCCAGGATTGGTGGGCAGGTGGACACGTGGACGCCTTTGGTTTTGTCAGAACCCAATCCCTCCCACCCTCATTTATAGCACTCACTGGCTCTCTCCTACTCTTCTTCTTCCCTCTTGATTGGCTTTTTCTGCAGTTTTTGTCGTTTCCAAACAGAAAAGTTTTGAGAAATTTCAGAAAGTTTTTGAAATTTCACACAATATTTGCATGTTTTTGGGAGTGCGGTTTGAAAGAATGAGTTTGTTTTCTTGGAACAGTAGATAATGGGATAATAATACTGTTTAAAGTGCACTGTTGAAATTTGCTTGGAATATATGTGATTCAACAAATCAAGCCAACAAACAAAATCGAAATTGCTACAATTAGGAGTATAAATCAGACTTAAATAAGCATGTGGCATATATAAACAGTATTTATGTTACTCTATCACAAATTAAGAACCCGTTTGGTAACACTTCAATTGATTGAATCGGTCGATTCTGCTTATATTTATGAAGTTCTGGCTGCAGTAATTAGTTTAAATGATTCTGTTAATATATGAAAAAGCTATATTTAAAATATATCATTAATAAAATAAAGATAAAATCATATGAATAATAGCTAAAATGGTCATCTACAGTAACTTTAGTCAATGTATCCAAAAAAGTAATTTCAATATTACTTCCTTCGTCCCGCTAAGAACTTCCTACTTTGACCTACACACATATTATGGAAATAAATTTGACTTTACTGTAGAGTACACTATTTGGCACTATTTGGCACTGTTTGACACTGTTTTGCATTGTTTGACACTGTTTTGATGTAGGATAACTTTGAAATGGGAACTTCATTTTGGGACACCTAAAAAGGAAAGAAGAAAGATCTTAGCGGGACGGAAGAAGTACTTTTTTTATTATGACACGAATCAGCATACAAAATTAAAAATTAAGTATTTAATGCAAAACATTCTGTTTTTTATCGGAATTAGAAGGGAAAAATCAAAAATATGTTTACTCATTGTGTTTTCTAATACTCTCCGTATAAAATAGTTACCCACAACACCCCACCCCCAATCTGTGTCCCTGCCCACTCACCCTTCATTGGGGAATATCCAATTGGATTGGATACAACTGTATATACAAATTCATGTATTTGTGCATTTTAAGATAGTTCTTTCTCCCATAAATTTGAGGTTTCTTGTATTCCCTCCATCTCTGAAACAAGTTCTCCTTTTCACTTTTGGATACTCCCTGATTTAAATTCATTTTTCCTTATTTGACAAATTATCTACATCAAAGCAGTGGCAAACATTGTCCAAACAGTGTCAAAATAATAAAATATACCCCCAGTATACTTATTTCTGTAATATGTGTAAAAAGTAATGGGGAATTTGTTTTGGGGATGGAGATAGTATCAAATTAGAAGTATAGAGATCAAGATGATGTATTAGTTTAGTTGGAACAGTAAATAATGGGATCATAATAGTGTTTAAAGTGCACTTTTGAAAATTTGCTCAAAACATATGTGATTGCAGCAAATCAAGCCAACACACAAAATTGTAATAGTACAATTAGGAGTGTAATAAATAAATTTTAAACGAGTACTCCCTCCATCCCATTTATATTGTCCCGGAGGAGGGTGTCACGGTTATTAAGAAAAGTGAGTTTGTGTAGTTGATATTAATTGATAAAGTAAGAATAAAGTAAGAATGATTTAGAGCCACACAAACTTTGCCAAATATGGTATGGGACAATATAAGTGGGACTTCCCGAAAAGGTAAAACGGGACAAAATAAATGAGACGGAGGGAGTATATGACAGCATCTTCAACGCAAAAATATTAAATATATATATATATATAGTATGGATCAAATAAAAAGTGCTTCCTAGGTGAAAAATAAGAACTAATCTTGGCCATTGATATGAAAAAATGGATGGAAGACATCAAATTATAAGTGAAAAACGCAGTGACGTTTTGGTAATTATGAAGAACTTTTAGTAAAAAATTTATACGAAAAGTGTACTAACATATGCAAAAAGTGTACATGCAGAGGACAAAAGTGCATAACAGTACATAGTAAAATGTGCACAAATTTAAAAAAAAAAAATTGGCAATCTTTTTTAACTCTTATGAGTGCACTTATATTCATTTAATATCCACTTTGTACTATAAACATTTGCACATTATTTGACTGTGTATCTTGTGATTAAAGTTCATCTAATCCATCCATTTATAAGTGATTAAAGGCTAAGATTTGTTCTCACTTTTGATGGGATGACTACTTTTTACTTGAACCCATCTCTCTCTCTCTCTCTCTCTCTCTCTCTCTCTCTCTCTCTCTCTCTCTCTCTCTCTCTCTCTCTCTCTCTCTCTCTCTATATATATATATATATATATATATATATATATATATATATATATATATATACTTCCTCCGTTCTTAAATAAATGCAACGGTCAACATTTCACACTTATCGAGAAACAACTTTGACCATTAATATATATGATTTTGTATTAGTAAAAAAATTAAAAAAATAGATTATGAAAATTTACAATGAGACAAGTTTAACAATATTTTTTCCATAAAAAAATATTATTACATTAATAAATAAAACGTAGTCAAAGTAGAACATGTGAATAGTGTAAAAGTCAAAGTGTTGCATTTATTTAAGAACGGAGGTAGTATATATATATATATATATATATATATATATATATATATATATATATATATATATATATATAGATATATATATATATATATATATATATATATATAGAGAGAGAGAGAGAGAGAGATGATCAGGTCCAGCCGAAGAGACGGGAGCCGACGTACAAACTCTGCCATTTGGGACGGTTCCCGGTGAAATTTTTTGATGAAATTTTTTGAGCATGTTCCCCATCAAATCTAGTTTATCCACAAAAATATTCAGCTCAAAATTCGAGCGGAAAGTCAGTCAAATAATTATTTAAGGTTGACTGAGCAAAATTATACATAGAACATGCAGTCAACTTCAAAAAATTATTTGACTGACTTCCTGATTGAATTTTGATCTGAATTTTTTTGTGGATACAATAGACTTGATGGGGAACATGCTCAAACAATTTCATCAAAAAGTTCCACCGGGAACCGCCCAAACGGAGGAATTTGTAAGGCGGCTCCCGTCCCTCCGGCTAGACCTGAGCATTTCTGTGTGTGTGTGAGAGAGTCCCGTTCGAGTCAGGAGCTCCTGATTGGAACCGTTGTGCGGAATTCACTGTTTAAGGTGGTTCTCGAAGGAATTTTTGAATGAAAATTTTTGAGCATGTTCTTTATAATGTTTAGTTTATGCATACCAAATTTCAACTCAAAATAATCGGGAAGGCAGTTAACTAAATTATTGAAACACACTGCGCATTATGTACATCCACAAAGCGCAGTATATTTTAATAATTTATTTAACAGTCTTCTCGATTGAATTTTGAGCTGAAATTTGATATGCATAAACTAGACTTAATGAAGAACGTGCTCAAAAAATTCCATTGTGAACCACCGCAAACAGTGAATTCTGCACTGCGATTTCGATCAAGAGCTCCTGATATAAATTGTCATCATGTCTGTTTGCGCGCGAGTGTGTGTCATGAGAGATGGGAACATAAAAAAAATTAATTCTATTTCTTTCTTTTTTCTTTCAATGTTGTGATTGTTTACATGTTAAATATTTGAATGGGAAATGATGTCATACAAAGTTTGGGAAAGCAATTACTTTGCATGTAAAATAACTTACTACGTATATTATATGGCTAGATATACAATTTATTTTTAAATTGCACGCAAAGACGTTGTAGTGTTTCATAAAGAGTATGCAAAGTATTTTATCACCACCACCACCACCCCGCATAAAAAATTTTACATAGTACGCTGCAAAACATTCAAAAAATGTTCTACAATTTACATTAAATAATCGAACCAAACAACGTAAATCTTTTACATTCTTAGATTTCGCATGCAAAGTTATTACTTCACAATGTCACGAACATAATGTCAAAATTTAGATATTGTATTTGACATTATCACTGTAAAATAACTACAAAACTATACACTTTTAACATCAAGATAGAGATCACAAATGACACCAATTATTTTTTTGTCCATCTCATTCATGCCGCATATGCCCTTTCAACACTTCAGCATTAGAAACGCTCTAAACGGGTGTTTACTCTTTTTGATAAGACACGCTAGTTAATAAGTCTTCATTGAATAGAGAAATAGTCGATGGTTATTTAATGCAAAACACTATCCTTTTATGGAAAAATAGGAATAAGAAAATCATAAATATGTTTACGATTTCTTCTCTCTTTTTTTTTGACCCATCACATCCAACATTTTATTAACTTAAAAGATCATTAGCCAAATGGCTAGACTTACAACTGGCATAAAATCGAAACTACCAAACTGATCTGAGACGTTTACGTGAGCTTTTTCCAAAGCATGAGCTACACGATTCACATATCGTTTACAAAAAGAGACAAAAAAATTACTCTTTGTATCTAACAATCTCCTAATATCATCCAAAACAATATGCAAATAAGAGAAGCCTTCCCCTTGCTGAAGGCCTTGCACAATAGTCATGACATCTGTCTGAAATTCCACCTTGCTCTAACTTGCTTCCAGAGCTCCTTCAACCGCAGCTTTCTAACCCGCTGCCTCGGTTTCCGCTGCCGTCCAATTGGCGCTCGTCGACCCGCCACCTGCTTTTACAAAAGACCCATGCTCGTCGTGAGCCACCCATCCCTAAGCCCGGATTTTTCCTTGCTCATTAACTGCGCCATCCACATTAATTTTAATAAAATCTTTATCCGGTCTTTTCCATTTCTCCTCCTCCCTTCGGCCCGCCCGCTGTTAGATACCCTCGACGCCTTGAGCGTCCTGCCAACCTGCTAACATTCTTGTCGCTGCGTTAATAACATTTGTTACATCATTTTTCTGATCCTTCCAGACTGCATTATTCCTTCTTTTCCATATCCCCCATAAAGAAGCAATAAATCTACTTCTTTTTTCCTTGTCTTTTTCGAAAATATTCCCCCTCAACCAATCTTAAAAAAAAAATCATCCTCGGTCGAGAAACCTGCCGCCTGCCAAACCGCACTCGCCCAGCTACATGCTCTGAACGCGTGATTTGGTGATTCGGACTTATCGTCACACAAATGGCGCCAGACATCCTCTTCCGCCGCTTGCAAATTCTCCATCTGTATCTTATAGCAGCTCTTCACCCAATAATTGCCATTTGTTTCCCCCATCCACCAGTAGCTATCAGTTGGATCAACTGTGCAGATAGGGATACTAAGAATTCTTTCACTGTCTGTCTCATTAAAAATCGACTGAATCCTTTC